CCAATTCTACGGCCCACTTCAAAATTCTCCCGGTAAAGTCTGCATTTTCAAAGAGCACCTTAAGTGGAAACTTGGTCAACACAACTATTGTGTGGGCATGAAAATAGTGTGCCAGTTTTCTGGAAGCCATCATCAGGGCCAGGGCTAATTTTTCTAGCAGCAGATATCTTGATTCAGCCAAGAGCAAGGTCTTGCCTACGTAGAAGATGGGAAGGTGCTGAGTACCCTCAGCACGGACTAAAATCGCGCTCACCGCATGTTGAGAGACTGCCAAGTAGAGATACAGTTCTTCGCCCAGCTTTGGTGTAACTAGGATAGGGGCAGAGCAAAGGTATACTTTTAGATCTGCCAATGCACGGTTGCATTCGTCGTCCCAGAAGAACTTGGCCTTTAAAGATTTGAAGAAGGGCCTGCAACGATCTAAAGACTGGCTTATAAATCTGTTCAGCACGACTGCCATCCCGGCAAGATGTTGCACGTCCTTCGTGGAGTTTGGGCGCTCCAACTCTTGTATTGCCTTGATTTGGGAAGGGTCGGCTTCAATTCTTTGATTCGTGACCAAGAAACCCAAAAAAATTTCGATGCCGACTCCGAAGGCGCACTTGGAGGCATTTAAACGAAGCTTGTGATGTTTAAATGTAACAAACATCTCTGCTAAGTCGGCGAGGTGTTGAGACTTTTCCCTGCTCTTTACTACCATATCGTCGATGTAGGCTTCCATGGTGCGGCCCAGAAGAGAAGCGAACATCTTGGTTACCATCCTTTGAAAAGTTGCCCCGGTGTTTTTCAGTCTGAACGGCATGACTTTGTAACAATACAGGCCTCTTGGAGTGGTGAATGAAGTGATTTCTCGGTCTGGTTCATGCATGGCTATCTGGTGGTAACCACGATATGCATCCAGGAAGCTAAACCTCTGATAGCCAACGGTCAAGTCCACCAGCTGGTCGATTCGTGAGAGAGGGAAGCTATCTTTTGGGCACGCACAGTTGACCGTCTTATAATCAACGCACACCCCCCACTTGCCGTTCTTTTTCGGAACCACCACCGTGTTGGATATCCACCGAGGGAATTTCACTTCTTCTATTGCCCCTACTTCCAACAAGTTCTTGACTTCTTCCGTCACTACCTCAGGATGGTGCAAGGCCGAGTGACGTGTCCTCTGGATGACTGGCCGTGCATTTGGAAAGACGTGTAACTGGTGGCAAATGAAACTAGGGTCGACGCCAAGCATATTGTAAGGCGTCCATGCGAAGGCTTCCATATTAGAAATCAGAAAGTCAACGTACTCAAGTCGCTCGACGCTGGACAGGGATGAGCCCAAAAGAAAGAACTTGTTTGGGTCATTCTCGTCTACGTGTACCTCCACCAAATCTTCAACTGATTTTTCCTCGGCCTTTCTTCTTACGTCTTCCAGGACTTCCTTTCTCTCTGGGCCCTCTATCATTTGAACGAAGCCCTTGGCGGCTCGGCTACCGTTTACCGCAATGAAGCACTGTTTTGCCATTACCTGGTCTCTTCAAACCTCTTCCACCTTCCCGGTTGGTGCTGGGAAGCGCAGAACCTGGTGGTAGGTCGACACTACTGCTTGCATGGCGTGCAACCAACCCCTGTCCAAAATTAAGTTGTAGATTGATGGGACTTTAAGCACCCAAAACTCCACTTGCTTCGTGACTGACCCCGCTCTACGACTTTAGTTGGTTCAAATCTGCATAAAGAAACAGGCAAACGGTTAGCACGGTGCAAATCTTATAAACAGTAAAAAGTAAAGAACGCACAAGCTAAGCCAAGGTATTCATACCGACTACTTCTTTATTCCAGTTTATTCCATATTCCGGTATTAGGGCTTCTTGGTCTTCAAAATTACCAGAAATCTAAAAAAAATCGTCGTCATTTACGTCTTTGTCCGGTGTGTTTTTAATTATTTTCTCTCAGCGTCTTCTTATTCTTAAATAATATACCCAGCCGTCTTCGTTTTGGCCAAGAGAGTATTGATGAAATAGCTCGGCTAAACCGAGGTTGAGGCCAAGCCGGCGGTTTAGCTCGGTGATGCCATTTATTATTCTATATGAGTTTGTGGAGAGCTGAGTGGGGCAGAGTCTTGTTTGCCTAAGGAATTCACAAATGAGTGGCTAGCTTGGGAATCGGAGACCAGCTTCAACAATGGATAGTACGGTAAATGGAACGAAGCCTGGTTTTTCCCAGGGCGTGGTATCTTCTCAGCGAGGAAAAGATGGATGTCGTCTAGAATTTGGTAATCCTTTCGGAACTTGGCTATGGCCCCTGGAGAATTTACTAAAAATTGATATTTGCCCATGTGGACTTAAATTATGTATAAATTAGCTTGGTGTACTAGCTCAGTGTTGAAACGACGTTGAGTATCTCGGTTGAGTGTGCAAAGAAGTGTCTGGCCAACCTAGTCAGAGTCTGCAAAGTGGAGACGAAAAGTGTTAAGCCCAGATCGTTGGACCGTGCTAAGTACAAAGGCAAAATAAATGTAGGCCTAGCACGGCTACGTGGGATATTATCCGTTCTTAGTTCGGTTGGAGCAAAGGACTTTAGTTCGGCTAAATGAAACTTAAGGTGTGGCGTGAAGTTTAAGTTCGGCTATTGGGGAGTTATCTAGTTTAACTGGGTACATACCTAAATACAAACAAGTTCCTAGTTCGGTTGAAGTATTATTTTGGATCAAAATGATTTTCATAACAGATTGTGAATTTGGTGAAAGATCTATCACATGGTTTCTGGGACCAGGAGGTTCTTTCCCATTGCTATGAAAAACTATACTAATATGTGTTTTGAAAAACATATATGTATTATGCTATGGTGCTGTTTGGTGTAGCTGTTAAAACATATTATAGATTGTAACTTAACAGATTATAGATTATGACTTTAATCAGAAGCTGTTTATCTGTTTGGTATAGCTGTTGGATTATAAATTTAAGTTGCTGAGTAGTGTTTGTTAAATAAACTGTGAAGTAACTTTTTTAATTAATTTTTATTTTTTATTATTCACTATTTGTCTACATTATTTTATAAAAAATGGTAATAATATTTTATAGTCCATTTGGGTCTTTTTCTATTTTTAAAAAAATAAAAAATAAAAAAATCTAAGAATATAACCGTGAATTAACATGTCCACAGCAGAAGCTGATAATCAGAAGCAAGAGGTGAGCAGCTTCTTAGAATCAGCTTTTTTGACTTAAAATAAGTTGTTAGAATCAGAAGCTGTTTGAAATAAGTTTAACCAAACAGTCCAAAATAACTTTTTAAAAACCAAAAGTCATAAGCTGGCTCAAAAAAGCCCCACCAAACACCCCTATGTATTACTACACTATGCAAAATAAACAAAAAGGAAACAAGATTAGAGCACTTATAGTTTAAGATAAAGGGACGAAGATCAAAATGGTGAAGATGCCAGGTTAGAACACGAGCGTTACAGGCACTATGGTTGTGAAAATAAAAGCTGAGAGGGGAAGAGTAAGAAGGTGAACAGTAGAGTGTCGAGTTCAAAAACTAGGGTTTTTGTATAAGGCAAAGAAAAGGCAGGACTGTTCAAATTTTCGGAGTACGAGGGCAGCGGCGACAGTTGTACTTGACTAGTGGGAGCCAGCCACGTGTCCACACGAATAGGAAACGATTCAAATGTATAGAGTGAAAGGACGTTTATGAACCGGACTAATCGGTAGCCCGGTAGAGGGTGACTTCGGTTGGCTTGAATGTTTATAGCTCGGCTAGAGAAGAATAATCCCAAATCATGCGTTGCAGATGGCATTAAGGGGCAATTGAGAGAGTAAAAAGCATAAATCTGGGCCGAGCTAGGACCAACTAAAGGTGGGCCGAGCTATGGGCTAAGTAAAGTAGGCTTCACCATTGGGCTTAGTTAGCTCGATCTTAAATAACCCAGAGCCCAGCTGGAGTATGCCGAACCGAGGTGCAGGAAGCTGAAGGGAAGAGCCGAGCTAGGTAAAGCTCGGTCGAATCTACCACTTAACATAACAACTTTAGCTCGGTCGTTTGTCATACCGAACTAACCCCTTAAATGTGTTACCTCAGTCGTTTTGTCATACTACCGAGGTAAAATCATTTCACTTGGTTAAAGCAGTGATAATGGTGTTAAGGGATAAGCATCATCCTTTACAAATGTGATTCCTAGGAGGACTCTGCATTGCAGAATAAGAGTCCTACTAGGATTGTGCCAGGTAAAACCTACAAAAGCTCATAACAGAACCTTTGCAGAGGTATTGCAACTTGGATTCCCGAATACAAAAGGCTTTTGTCTATTTGTCTATTTTGCTGACTTAGGCATCAGAGAGGTATCCGGCACGCACCCGCCGGCTAGCTCACGTTTGTGTTTTCAGGGAGTAAAGCGACGACGTTCGGAGGAGCGCGGACTTGATCAACAGGATTATACGAGAACATTATTTCGTGCTCGTACACATGGCCTATTGTGTAAAAAGGTTCAGCACGTCCGGAAACAAATTGGACGGTGCTGTTGGCCGTGGTAGGCTTGACTCTAGGCCTATTAAAATGATTTAAATCGTTCAATGTGTAAAACTCGTCAAGTATATCATTCTTATAAAAAATAAAATTAATCAGATATTAATAATCACTTAATTAGATTTCATTTATTTTTGTAATTTATTTTTAAAATCATAATTGACGTTGAAACTAATATAATCGAATCAACTAACTATCGATACCGATATCGATTTAACGTAATTTTTTTTAATAATGATGTACTCAAGAAATTTTATAAATTAAACATTTAAAATAATCGGGATTAATCCAAAAGCGGGCCAACCACAGTCCAATAGGACCATTTCAGTCCAATTTCGGACCGAAGAAAAGCCGTGGGCTGAGCAAAAAAGGAAAAACTAGTTTTGTAGTTGTATCCAAATCAAAGGGCAATAATGCAATTTTAGGAACTTGACAAACATACCCTCCATGATCTCAGTTCAGTTCACATTTCAATTTTAGTTATGTCTCCTCACTTCACTTTTCACTCTTCCCACTGCACTCTCCCTTCTCTCCCTCTCTCTCTCTAGCTCACCAATGGCACGATGGCCCCCCTTACTGTCTCTCCTCCTCCTCCTTCTCTCCTCCCCCACCTCCTCTCTCTCTCCTCCCACCAGCACCACCAGCACCACTATCTCCCCAACCCAATCCCCCTCCTCATCTCCATCCCCACCCTCCACCCCCTCATCCTCCTCCTCCTCAACCCTTGACCCAAAACAACTCAGAGCCCTCCAATCCCTCAACGTCCCCACCTCCACCGACCCCTGCTCTCAACCACCCTCCCTCCACAGCGCCACCGTCTGCGACGCCGCCAAACCGTTCCGCCACCTCCTCTCCCTCCGGCTCTCCAACTGCTCCGCCGACCTCTCTCTCTCCATCACCGCCCTCTCTTCTCTCTCCTCCCTCACCTCCTTCCAATTCATCAACTGCCCCACCGCCCCCGTCCGCTTCCCCTCCTCTCTCTCCACCAACCTCCGCTCCTTCACCTGCCTCAACAGCCTCCGCAAACTCACCGGCGTTTGGCTCAGCCGCTTCCCAAATCTCACCGATTTAACCGTCTCTGGAGTCACAATCAACGCCAGTGGACCATCAATCATACTCGGAAACATGAAAAAGCTCGAATCTTTGACTATTTCTCGAGCAAATCTAACTGGGTTTTTGCCAAAACACTGGCATTTGAACCTTACCCACATTGATTTGTCTGCTAATTTGCTCAGAGGAAAAATTCCCAGTTCGTTAACTCTCCTCGAAAACCTTCAATCCTTGAATCTATCTTCAAATGGGCTCAATGGAGAGATACCCAGTTCAATTGGGGACTTGTTGTCTCTCCAAAACGTTTCTCTCTCATCGAATTCTCTCTCTGGTTCGATTCCAGATTCAATGGCGGCTATACCTGGATTGGTTAATCTCGATCTGGGTTCGAATCAACTCAATGGGACAATCCCAAAATTCATTGCAGATATGAGAGATTTGAAATACTTGAATCTTGAGAAGAACAATTTCAATGGTGTAATGCCATTCAATGCCTCGTTCATAAAGAGATTGGTTGTGTTCAAGATTGGTAGCAATATCAATCTCTGTTACAATCATTCAACAATCTCTCCCAAAGTGAAGCTTGGGATTGCACCTTGTGACAAGCATGGGCTGCCTCTCTCTCCGCCGCCGTCCAAGGACTCCGGTGGTGGTGGTGGTGGTGGTGGTGATAGTATTGGCGGTAATAGTCCGGTGGATGATTACAGTCTTGGTGATGAAAGTAATAGTAAGAGCAAGCAACACACTCATGGACCAAGTAAGGTTGTTCTTGGTGTAGCAATTGGGCTTTCTTCAGTAGTCTTTCTCATTATTTTCTTGGTGCTAATCTCAAAATGTTGCAGATGAAGAAGAAAAAAAAAAGGATTGTTGGTTCATTTTAGATTAGAGTAAAATTGTTAACTGGAAAGTTGAATTGAATTTCTTTTAATTTATTATACATTTTAATCATGAAGAAGAGTAATTGAAGGGGGAGAGAGAGGAGAGAAAATTGTTGTGATTGGTGTTTTTTTTTTTTTTTTCCAAGCTCTTTTTTGATGTTTTGGTGGGGGAAGAAAGCTCTCTGTTTTCCACTTGTTTGTGGGGGTGTATGATTAGCTGCTGTGGAGGAGAAAAGTGTTTTGATTTCATGTGGTAACTTGATTTGTTATATACTATGTATATGTGCTTCTGTTTTTCTTAATTTCAGCCTCTCCCTGTGTTCATGTCTTTTTCGTATGTGCTTTCCTTTACTTTTGGTTTGTTATTTTATAGTAACTTTAAGGTGGAATTTGGTGGTGTTAATTATGCTTAATTTTGTAGTTGGAATTCAAATTTGTGTAATAATAATTTTTAAATAATTACATATAATTTGTAATATAATGACTGCAAATATTTTAGAACATAGAGATAGAAATTTGGGCGCTGAGGATTGTTTGCCCTAACCCTCCGAGCACTAGAGAGAAAAATTCAACAATGCTACACATCTCCGAAAAAACAAATCTCTATAATTTTTATTTACTTGTGATTGGTGTAAGAAGAAAAGAAGATAAAAAATAAAGAAAAATGCTTGGGAGCATTAATTAGTGCTCCCATTAATTAGGTGGCAGTGGGTCCCGCCATTAATGATGTGATGTTTTGGTCTTGGAGTTGTGTTTTTTTTTTTTTTTTACTTTTTTAATGCATTAGTGCTATTAGTGGTGGTGTTTTTAGTGGGATGAATTATTGTTGAAAAACAAAAACAAAAACAAAATAAAAAATACATGATTAATCTACATTATTTTAAAAGCCACAGGAGTCCCTAACTTTGGAAGTTGGTTCATTTGGAAAGTGGGTTAACTTTTTTATTTTTTGACTTTTTGGCTACTTTAGTCAGGGATTAAAAAGTCTTGTTTATAAAGGATTTTTGACTTTTTTGATTTTTTGTGAAAAAAGAATATAATGATTATGGGTTAGATGTGATGTTTTGTCTTATTGGACGAAAAGTTTATTTTGTCTTTTTGTGACTAAAATAATCCCCAACTCAATCCAACCCTTCTTTTCATACGAAAGCTAAGTATTTTTGCATCATGTGGTGGTGACTAAGAGCATCCACAATGGACGTGTTAGTGAGGGTGTTAGTGTCGGTGGCCAAAATTTAGGAAAGATACGGTAATTTTTGGATTCACAGTGAAAGTATTAACGAGTGTATTAGTAGAGTGTGTTAGTGTCAGCTGTTAAAGTTTTTGTTAACTGTGGCTAGCGTTTTAGCCAGCGAGAGAGAGGAGGGACATGGGAAAGAGAGAGAATTGTGTGCCTGGAGAAGTCCTCATAGACATTTGGTTGGAAGTTCCTCCGAACATCCCGCCGGAAGTCCACCCCAGACGTTCGGATCCTTCAAGAAAAGGGGGGGAAAAATTGGGTATGACCAGTTGACCGACAGGACGTCCGGGCGGTCAACTGAATTTTTTTTTTTTTTTACTTATTGGGATTTTTTTTTTGGTTTGAAATTTAATTTTGGGCTTGAAATTTTTGATTAAATAAAATTATTTATTTATTTATTTTATTTATTATATATACACATATATATATATATATATATATATTCTTAACACACACCTTAACACATCTCTTAACACATTCATTATAACACCTCTCACTTTTTAAAATTAACAAACTCTTAACACATCTTAACACACATTTTTTAGCTCCACTTTTTACTTTTGTTATAATACATCTTAACATACTTTTTAGCCATTTCACTATGATGCTCTAAGTCATAATAAAAGGTAACTTAGAGAAGACAAGGTGGAGGTAGATCACCAACTAGCCTTTCCGTGGCCTATTTTGGAAAGTGGGTTAAAAGTTACTATTTAGTTTTTAACCCACTTTTTTCTCTCACACAAAAGTCAAAAAAAAATCAAAAAGTAATTTTTAACCATATTATTATCATTCTCATGCTGTCAGTTCTCACTTAGGCCTCGGTTAGCAAGTAGCTATTTTAGTCTAAAAGTCAAAAAGTTATTAAAAAAATTAAAAAGTCTATAACCTATACCAAAAAGTCAAAAAAATTATTTTCTCTCTACTTTTTGCACATATTTTCGTAAAAAGCCAAAAATTCATCACAAACATATTCAGTGTATTTGGTTTGAGTTTTGTGGATTAAGTTTTTTGAAAACTGACTTTTTTGGTTTTCGTGTTTTTTTTGTTTTTAGTGAATATTTTTTAAATTTTAAACATATTTTTTACTTTTTTAGATGCACCTTGCTTAGATGTATCTAAAAAGTAAAAAATTTGTGAAAAAATATTTTAAAAAATTAATAAATACATAAAAATAGAAAAAAAAAATGTACTGAATTCTTGTATTTTTTTTTATATTTTTGGTATTTTGTGAATTTTTAAAAGATTTTTTTTTACAATTTTTTTACTTTTTAGGTGTATTTATGTTAGGTGTGTCTAAAAAGTAAAAAAATTGCTTAAAATATTAAAAAAATTCAGTAAAAACAAAAAAACACGGAAAATAAGAAAGTAGTATTTTTTGAAAAGTGGGAACAAGCAAGGTGATTAGTTTTTTTTTACTTCATATTTTAGTCAAAAAGTCAAAAAATTACTAAAATAACCTGTTCCCAAACGAGGCCTTATTCCTAGTCATTTTTAATGTTTTGCCACTCATGTTGCTGTTAGGTATAATGGTAATAGCTTTAGGGTAAATTACACTGACACTCCTGAGGTTTATGTTTATTACAGTTCCTCTCTTCACCTCTTGAAAATTACATTCCTTCCTTGAGGTTTAAAGTTTCATTACAGATTCCCCCCTCAGCAATTTAATTTTTTAAATACCAATTTTTCCCTCACTGGGTAAATTATATTGACACCCCTCACATTTTAGAAATTACAATCCTCTCCCTAAGGTTTAAAGTGGCATTACCAATTGCCCTCTCGGTTAATATTAGTTGGAAAAAAAATTCATTGAAAAAAAATTAATCGAAAAAAAAAATTGTTAGTAAAATTTTTAAATTTCTGTTTAAAAATCAACGTAAACTCATTTTTTAAATTTACATTTTTTCCTCAAATTTATAAACTGAGACAATCATTTATAAACCAAAAAAATTATCAAATAAGTTTTAATTACAGTTTCTTAAATTTTTGTAAATATAAATTGAAAACTGAAAACAAAATGGTTACCAAACAGGCTTCAGGTGGTAAAAATATCGTAAATTAACAAATAATTAAATAAGTTACCAACGTAAGAAATGACTTATCAAAATATTCTTAGGCTATGTATGATTTGATTTTTAGATTTTTTTTTAAAAAAATTAAAAATTAATTTGGTTAAGAAATAAGAAATAAAAAATAATTATCACTTTTATATAATTTTTATCTTTCGAATGGTTAGAAATAGTTTTTTACAAATTAAATTGAAATAGTCATATGTATGTATATAATTTGCTCAAAAGTTAAAATGATAATTATTTTTTATTTTTTATTTCTTAACAAAATTAATTTTTAATTTAAAAAAAATATCTTAAAATCAAACCATACGTACCCTAAGAATCTTTGGATAAGTTATTTCTTACGTTGGTAACTTATTTAATTATTTGTTAATTCGCGACATTTTTACCACTTGATGCATGTTTGGTAACTATTTCATTTTCAGTTTTCAATTTATATTTACAAAAATTTTAAAAACTATCATAAAAACTTGTTTGATAATTTTTTTGGTTTATAAATTGTTGTCTCAATTTGCAAATTTGAGGAAAAAACGTAAATTCAAAAAATGAGTTTATGTTGGTTTTTAAACAGAAATTTAAAAATTTTACTAACAATTTTTTTTTCAATTAATTTTTGTTTTCAAATAATTTGTTTTCCAATAATTTTTTTTTCAACTAATACTAATCGAGGGGGCAATTGGTAATGCTACTTTAAACCTTAGGGAATGGATTGTAATTTCTAAAATGTGAGGGGTGTTAATGTAATTTACCCAATGAAGGCAAAATTGGTATTTAAAAAAATTAAATTGCTGAGGGAGGAATCTGTAATGAAATTTTAAATCTTAGTGAAGGTGATGTAATTTCCAAAAGGTAAGGGAGGAACTATAATAAACATGAACCTCAGGGGGTGTCAGTGTAATTTACATTAATCTACATTATTTTAAAAGCCATAGGAGTCCCTAACTTTGGAAGTTGGTTCGTTTGGAAAGTGGGTTAACTTTTTGATTTTTTGACTTTTTGGCTACTTTAGTTTGGGATTAAAAAATCTCGTTTAGAAATGATTTTTGACTTTTTTGATTTTTTGTGAGAGAAAGAATATAATGATTATGGGTTAGATGTGATATTTTGTCTTATTGGACGAAAAAGTTTATTTTGTCTTTTTATGACTAAAATAATCTCAAACTCAATCCAACCCTCTTTTCATATGAAACCTAAGTATTTTTGCATCATGTGGTTGTGACTAAGAGCATCCACAATGGACGTGTTAGTGAGGGTGTTAGTGTCGGTGGCCAAAATTTAGGGAAGATACGGTAATTTTTGGATTCACAATGAAAGTATTAAGGAGTGTATTAGTAGAGTGTGTTAGTGTCAGCTGTTAACTTCTTTGTTAACTGTGACTAGCGTTTTAGTCAGCAAGAGAGAGGAGGGACGTGGGAAAGAGAGAGAATTGTGTGCCTGGGGAAGTCCTCATAGACATCTGGTTGGAAGTTCCCTCGGACATCCCGCCGGAAGTCCACCCCAGACGTTCGGATCCTTCAAGAAAAGGGGGAAAAAAAAATTGGATATGACCAGTTGACCGATGGGACGTCCGGGCGGTTAACTAGCGGTCAACTGAATTTTTTTTTTTTTTACTTATTGGGATTTTTTTTTTGGTTTAAAATTTAATTTTGGACTTGAAGTTTTTGATTAAATAAAATTATTTATTTATTTTATTTATTATATATACACACACACATATATATATATATATATATATTCTTAACATACACCTTAACACATCTCTTAACACATTCATTGTATCACTTTTCATTTTTAAAAATTAACAAATTTTTAACACATCTTAAGGCACAATTTTTTAGATCCACTTTTTACTTTTTGTTATAAAACATCTTAACACACTTTTAGCCATTTCACTGTGATGCTTTAGGTCATAATAAAAGGTGACTTTTGTTTGGGATGATCTAAGTAAGTATATTTTTTGACTTTTTATGAAATATGTGTTAGGTTTGAGTTGGGTTTGAAGTGATATGTTAGATAAGTTA